GATATGTTTCTTAATTCAATCCTACAAAGAAATTTAAATTATATTAATATACTAAACCTTGCCTGTTAGGAAGATAGCATGCAATATGTTCTATTCTCTGTTAGTACTATCTTTTCTAACCATTGCCACAAATGCAGTATGGTACATTCATTACCTCTATTTCATCTGTTTTGCTTTGTATTTCCATTTCTGGAACACTAAAGCACTGCTATATTAACAGTATATCTAGATAAACTATTAATGGTTATATCGTTTGACACATCAAAATGAATAACTTACTTGCTGATCTGAGCTGTGAAAATTCATTCTATTTTTTTTTAAAATTTGTGTAAAGAATTCAAATTAAAAAAATATTAAAAAGTTTTAAAAGTTAACTGTAAGAAAAATATTAAATTCTTTTAGATTCCTGGGTATTTTATACCCAAGGTTCTTAGAAATAGCAATCCAGCATGTTGATGCTGTGGCATGCTTGTCTTCACTAATGATTTGAATATTAGAACAGCGGTTCTTCTAGTTCTGTCCTTTCCCACCACTCCAAGCAGTTGGCTGTCTCAAAAAACTTGTTTCTGAAGTTGCCACTGGTTTAATACTCTTTCCACTCTCCAAATCTCCATTTAATTCTAATCGATAATTTAACTTCATTTCCTCAAAGGTGCTTTCTCTTACCTCCAGATTAGATCAGACCCCCTGCCATACCTGGTTAGATTCACATTCCTTTTTTTCCCCTTTTATTTCTTACTGTTTGTAATGATATTTGTAAGGTTATTTGGGTTGCCTGCCTCGCACATTTAGTGAAAGACTGTTTCTGCATTTCTTATTATTTTATTATCAGAGCCTGGCAATTCATTCATACTAAGTATTTGTTGAATGAATGAATTAATTCATGTCCAAGCTCAAATCCCACCCTCTTTACAAAAAACATTTCTAACTTCTCCAGCCATTGTGATAAATCCCTCTCTTGAATTTGAGGCGTTTGCTGATGGTACCATTCATTTATCCTATGGAATCATAGATTCATAGAATTTAATAGGAGTTTAGAGGTAGCAAGTTTTATATTGTAAATGATGCAATTAATTGAAATACAATTCTTGGTTTTAGTTTTGTAAATATCATCATTAGTGATTGGAAGTTGCCTCCTGAACCATCATCCTTGGACTATTCATAGTTTCAGTTTTTCTGATATTTAGCAAGTATCTACTTTCTTGTGATTTTCAAGACTAATTTGGTTCCTTAGCATAAAAAAGAATAAGCCCATTTGTTCTTCTAATGATGGTCCCTCAGATAGTCAAAGGCTGCTCTCCTGCTCAATCAAAACACAGCCCTCCTTTAATTATTGCTTTTATATTGTGGTTTCCAACTTCTTTCATCATTCTGGTTTACTCTCCTGTGATATCAGTTTAGTTTGTCAAGGTCCTTCTTAAAATAAAATTACCTTTGTTATCAGTAATTTTATTTTTTCTAAGTATGCTATTCAAATGTCATAAGATAGTAATAAAAGACTTAAAATTTCTAAAATTCAGAGGTTACTTTTTCTAAGAATAAATTTGTGATGGTTCTTTAAGTCTTTAAATTCAGAAATTTGAAAATATAATTTTGATTAAGTAATAGATACCGTTTTCTCGCAGCTGTTAACGGTTGTTGGAGGATTGCATAGATCACATAACCAATTCTATAACTTACTGTTTAAAATGATCTCACTTGCTCTGACCACTTGTTAGGTGAACTTCAAAGGGATTTAAACAAATAAGTAACAAAATACTGTTCTTGTTTTGATCCGAAAGGTTTACTCTTATAGCTATTACCTGCTAAGAAACCAAACCCAATGTTTAATAATAATAATCAGCTCTTTCCTGGGCTCAGCAAAAAAATGTTTTGATGTGGTTGGTACCAGCCTCTGATGAGGGTATCAGCCTTCATTTAAAAAACAACCATTAGTTTGAGTTGTCATTACCAACATTACCAAATTGCTAATAATAACATTCATTACAAAGCAAGAATTGTCCTTTTCAGTCCTTTATATATAATTTATCCTCCGTTTCAAAAATATTGTAATATATTGTAAAGTTGCTGTCAACACGTCTCAAAAGAAGGCAACAAATGCTGCAAGAAGAAAAAGCAGCCAATAAAATAATATAGAAATAAATTAGAAGGGGGAGGGGGGACTTGAGCCTCTCCACTTCTGAAATGGTTTTACTATCTGGCACATAGTTATGATCATTAAATATTTGTTAAATGAATGAAAACATTCAAGCATAGGGATAATTCCATAGCAGGGATGACATGTTATAAGCAAAATAATTGGCTTAACCAGAATATCTGACAATTTATTTTCAATTTCAATTTTTACTATATTTTCAATTTCAATATTTTTGAGAACTCAGTATGAGTTAAACTGTAATCACTAAAAACACTCAAATATTTTTCTAACATGATGTAATTCAATCTCCTATAATCCAAATTTATATTATAAATTCCTTCCTCTTTCTTTCCCTCCTTCTCTCTCTCCCTCCCTTACTTCCTTTCCTCCTTTCTAATGAAAAATTCACTTGGGCTATTTAGGTAACTATTTTAAAGTAGCCTATAAATGAGCTATTGGCCCTGGGTAGAGCCAACCATGTGTTCAAGCAACAAAATGAACAAAAGAAACTTTGGAATGCACCTGGATGTTAAGAAAATAACAGGTGGTTTAAAAAAAAAAAAAGGCTAAGGAACTCAAATTTCTCTTCAGGAATTTTGTTGCTACCTTTCCTACAAAATTATCCAGATTACTTCTTGACCTCTACTTTGAGAGCAGAGGAAGTCTTGCTGTGTGATGTGTTACTCAGTAGCTAGCTCTGAAGTCTCCAGGTACTTTCTTACCTGAACGATATATTCGAAATACTGTAATTGCTTGCACATTTGAACCTATTCCATCCCTGGATTACAAAATATATATTCTCTACATAAACTTTAAAGAGAAAAGGCATTCGAGGTACATTTTAATATGTATATACTAGTAAATGTATATATTTTTATTTATAGAAAATATATAGGCATATCCTGTAAGCAATAATTGTAGTTTTAAAAAATTATAATATTTGCCGTTTTCATACTTTCAAAAATATATACTAATTTCAAACTACTTTTGGAGAATCTGTCATAAACCAAATAAATACTTAAGACAATCCAGGAAACTTTAAAAAATTCTCTTCAAAAAGAAATTAGGAGTTTATGCTCAGGGGCCAGTTGGCCACCAACGAAAGCCCAGAAAGTTGTTAAGCCTATTCTGTTTTATTTATCATAAGGACAGGATTTATATCAGTCGAGATGACCACTATAAGTTCCAAACTCATTTTAGATTAAGTGCAAAAATTCTAAACTAAAGTTGTTTTGAACTGAGATAAATCTATAATAAATTTGAAAATGTCCATTGAATTATTATTTTACAAGCAATTAGAGTTTATTATTTGATGTGCACTCTGTTAGGCACTAGAATGCACAAAAAGGAATACAATATAAAACTTTTGCCCTTCGGGAGCTGGCATTTTAGTGAGAGGTGTCCGGTTTTTTCTCCTTTGCAGGTATTAAATATAGAGTTTTTATATACAGTTATAGAAGTAGCATGTCACAGAACCCAAAGAAAAGAAGCATTAACTGAAGGTTTCAGAAGTGGGTTTGTGTTGTATATACTAGGGATTGGCTGTTGAATTAAAGTAGCGTTTTCAGAAGTGTCTATTTAAATCCATATTGTTGACACTACAGTGAAAGCAGTGAAACTTGTCAGCAGATGATTAAGTTTTATGGTTGATGTGCACACTTTTGTAGCTTGGGACCAATATCAAGTTTCTGGGCAAATCATCCTTCCTCTCTCCCCACCCTCCATTTATCATTAAACCAGCTCCCCAGCCTGTTGGCGTTGTGTTCTCAGTATAAAGGTATTTCACAATAATTCCATTTTTCATTTTTCACTTATCAATCTGAGAAGAGTAGTTACTTCCATTTTTCTTTTTTCTTTTTCCCCCCTCCCAGGGCAAGAAGCGTTTGGATTGCTGGTTTATTTATATATTCCATAAGGGAAAGTCTGCACTCCACTGGCTACTTTTGCAATTCCCAAGACCACCAGTTAGTGGTATTATTTCTGGATGAGTGAAACGCCCTTAACAAGCAGCTGGGGGAGGAGTGCACAGCCCCAGGTCACTGGCTTTCCACCGACTAGTCTTTTAGGAAAGTGACACGGGTCCCACGGAAATTAACAACCCTTTAACTCGGACAGGCTTGACATCTTCAGGCCGAAGTGGAGATGAAAAATTGGATTCGTATGGGTTGGGTTACTGTTTGAGGAGGGCAGGTGGGAGTTAGTGAATGGATAGACTATCAAATGGGGCTTTATTAAACGAGTCATTAAAATGCACGAGAAAATAAACCTCTGCTGACTCCAGAGGATTAAAAAAAAAAAGCTTCAAAAATCCAACTTCAAACAAAATTTAGGAAACGTAGGAGACCTATCAATGCAGTCTGGGTGCTTGCAAGACCACCCCCTGTCACCTCAGGCCAGAACCTGGGCAAAGGTGTGAACTGAACAGTTTGCAAAACAGCTTTCAACACGACGTTTCAACGCGAACTCTCTTTGCGCGCGATCTGGGAACTTCGGGGTGGCCAGCACGTCCCGCAGGCTAGCGTTCGCCCGGGTGGCTAACCTTTCCGCCTTTCCCACCCCGCCACGCCCCCTTCGCCGCCGCCTCCATCCAGGAGGCGTTTGTTTATGTGACGTCATCCGTAGTAAGCAGTCCCCGCCCCTGGGTGCCTCCGGCCGCCGCGTTTCCCGCGCCGCGGCGCTTCTCCCCTTAAAAGGACAATAGAGGCGCCGGGAGCGCGCGCGGCCGCCGGGCCTCCTCGCCTCACCGCCCTCGACGCGCGCGCGCCCGTATGCAAATGAGCTCGATTCAGGAGAATTTTGTCCCGGGAGCCGCGCGTGCGCAGAGGGAAAGCGGAATCTACACCTTCCCGGCCAGCGGTAGCAACTGCAGAACTGCAGGAGACAATCTTTCTAGACAAGGCAGTTGAGGAGGAGGGAGCGAGTGGCGGGGGGGCTGGCCTGACGTGCACTCCGCGCCTCGGGAACGTTACTGCGCGTGGAACGGCTGTTTTGGGAAGGTGAGTGACTCTAACCATTACTCCGGTGCAAAACTCTCCCTAGGCTTTGATTTCAGAGTGGCTTCTTTTTTTTCCTCTCTCATTTCATCGCCCCCACCTCCCCCAGCCCTTCCACACACACACAAACGCACAGGAAGTTTTGTCTTGGAGATGGCATTGCGGGGAGCGCTGTTTTCGTGATTCCCCAGACCCCCGATCCTTTTGTATCCGCGCGTTTAGTGTGTCCCTTTTCACTGGGGAGGGGACCGGAGGCAAACCGAAAGTCTCGGGGTGGGGGAAGTGAGCGGAGCCTGGGAACGAGCGCGGAGTCGCTGGAGTTGGGGCATCCGCGGTAAAGGTGACAATGACTTTTTGTCAGCCGCCGCGTTCTCGGGCGCCGAGGAGCCCCGTGGCTGGAAGGCCCGAGAGGAAAACAACTCGCTGGCAATTGCGGAGGGGCCCCCGGGCCGGTGCGCGGTGGTGTGGGCGCGCGCCCGGGAGTGGTCGGGCTCCGCGGCTGCACCTCGTGGCTCAGTTCGTGGCAGCAGCCCCTAGCGCGTGGGGCGAGAAAGGTGGACCCTAAACGCCCTTCGCGGAGAAACTTAAGTTGCCGTGTGCACTCGCGAGCTGGCGGGCAGGAGGGGGGTTTAAAGCGGCCTCTGGGTAGGTGCCGGGGTGGCCAAGTGCACGCGGCGGGGCGTTGTTGGCCCAACTCCGGAGGGAGACGGATGCGACAATGAGAGCAGCACGCGGCCGCCCGCCCGCAGCCCGGGCTCCCCCCGCCTCGCCGCCTCCGGACCGCGCCCCAGCGGCGCTGCCGCCCGCGGTGCCTGGGGAGCCCCGAGTGGAGTTGGCCATGTAGTCACCTGTAGCGTCGCGGTGGGCGCCGCGGCCAGGGCTCTCCAGGGCCAGTGTGTGCACAGGCTTAAGATGGCCAGTCCGAGACCCTGGACCTCGGGATGGAGGCAGCCGCGTTGCCCGCGCCCACGCGGCGCGAGAACTCCGCGCGGCACTGCTTTTTTGTGCCGAACATGACAGACCACGTGCTCGGAGCTGCGACCTGGTTTTCGTCGGAGTGTCCGGCTCCAGGGCAGCAGGGAGATGCGGGCGCTGTCGCGTCCGGCCGCCCGGCAGGACCATGTGATTTGCTGATGATGGCGTCCTGCCAGTTTAAAAAGCAGAGTGAAAGTCGCCAACTCGCGGCCGGTGCGGGGCGGGTCACCCGGGCGTTTCTCATCCAGGACGGGGCGAAACTTGGGGTGACACGGGCCTGCAGCCGAGGGGGGAGGTCGGGAGGACGGGGCTCCGGACGCGCGGGGTCCCGAGCCTTCCCGGGGTGATCGCCGAGGGTGTCGCCCCAGGGACACCATCCGACATCCCGAGGCTGCACGTAGGCAGCGCCGGGCTGGACAGAAAACAAAGAGCTGCATGTGTCCCTGCGTACCCCGCCGACTATCACAATGGATGCGGGCGGAGGGCCGGTCGGTCCGGGACACTTGAAGTTCAGGGCGACATTCGGGAGGGGCTTTAGTCTCCCTGCGCCTCCCAGGTTAAACGTTGCCGCTCCGCTTCCTCTGGGTGCCCTTAAGGCCAAATCGTGTAGATGGAAAGATCTACATGACTGCGAGAGGATCAATAGCGCCTAGCAAAGTCGTCATATTGCGTAACAAATGACGGGAGAGGGCACCAGTCAAGCATATGAACAGATTTCATCCCAATATAAACACCCAGAACACA